AAAAAGGCTGCTGTGTTTTCTTCATCCGACGGAAGCTGGTTGTGATTAACGGGCCCCGTCGTCTGCCAGAAGTGGTCCCCTCCGTATACTGAACACGAGCGATCGCTGCTTTCTTCACTTCTGTCGCCGTTTTTTTCAGCAGCAGAGCTTGAAACTGACAGCACCGGGGAAAAATAGTTTTTTTTTTTTAAAAAAGAGCGAAGCTTGGCTTGAGTTATTTTCTCGTGACAGCTGGTCAAGGAAGACGTGGAGGCAGATGGCTTTTCCGGAATGATCAGTGCGACGACCACTGAAGCGAAAGGGCTTGAAGGAAGAAGTCCACAGGGCCCTGACGTTGGACTGAGGCATTCGCGGCATATAGCGAGGGGGAACCCGATCAGGGCGTTTCGGCCTGGTGTGGAAGTCCACCTTCGAGGAGTGTGGCTGTCCTGTCGGGGTTGTGAAATGGGCTCTTTCTAACGTGGGATCAAGCCTGTGTAGCAACAGTACTGCAGTGGAAGGTTGCCAGGCTTGGGGCAGCAGCCCTGCCTGGAGCTTTGTTGCTGGGGCAGGGGTTCCCCCGAGCTCTGGAGGTGCCCCACCCTGCCAGCTGTGGCACCCTCCTGGGCAGGCCCTGCCCTGGGTCTCTCGCTCTTTGCCGCTGGAGTCCAGAGAGCAGCCGCGCATGAAGGACACAGTCCTAGTTTTTCTCCCTTCAGCCCCGGAAGGAGGATCAGAGGAAAGACGGCTTTTGCAGACACAGCAGTGCGGTGTTAAAATAATCAGATCTCTATTGTTATCAAGCCAGGGAGACCGTGAGGAGAAGGAGAACAAGGAAGATTTGATAGGAGAGTTCAAATCATCCTTCCTGGGGTTTTTTTTTTCAGACGGAGGCAGAACTTCACACCCCAGTACGGGTGAGAGACAAGAGCACTGTCCACTTCCTGTGAATCGTTTTCTGTAGAACGCGACGGTGGGGAACTTTCTTTCGGTTTCCCGCAGGTGCTGTGTGATGTTCTGTTGCGCTGGGGGTCCGGGTGTTCTGTGCCAGGGCTGTGGAGTTTAGCGTGAGAGGGGTCCGTAACACGTTTCCTGCTGAGAAGAGGTTCACATGGGCCTTGAACAGACTCTGGAAAAATGGCGACACTAAGGTCGAGCAGAAGTGCCACCTATCACATTGTGCTAGAAAGCCTTCGCTGCCAGTGGTCTGCTGTCCTCAGCCTGCCAGAGTTTTGGACTAAAACTTGAACGATGAAGAAGGATTTCAAGGCTCCTGGTGTTCCCGGGTCGTTTGTGTGGGAAATGGAGGCTCTGTCTCTGGGGACCAGGGTGTCTGTCAACACAGTCTCCATGGAGGGAGCACAGCAGTTCAGACAGCCATCTTGTTTTCCCAGAGATGAAATACAGCATAGATGCTGCCCTACTTTTGCCTCATTAAATCGGTTAATGTCAGGTTTTGTTTTTCTGCGCTAAGTGAAAGCAGTTCCTGGTAAAGAGGGATAATTACTCAGGCTATCACCACCAGATTCTCATGGATCTTAATTCCTGTGAATATCCTTATTAGACGCAGGGAACCTGTTTAAGTGGTGTATTACGCAATTCAATTGTGTATTATTCAATTATCCAAGGTTTTGGAGTCTGAGCAACCCTAGATCTGTACTAGCTACTTATAGTAACACTAGGAAGTCCAGGATCAGAGCTAATCTGGTTGTGTGAAACCAGCCCACAGAGTCCAATTAATTACATTTCTCCTAGAGCAAATTGGAGAAGCGGCCTAGGCTTCTGACTCCTGGCTATGAGTTCCAGTCCGGCGATGTGTGTCCAGCTCGGATGTGGGTTGGCATCCCAGGGGATGATCTGCTATGATCAGACAATGTGCGGTCCAGCAGCTCAAGCTAAGATCACGGGTTCCAGGACATGCAAGGGCAATGCTGGCTTTGGTGGATCTAGATCCAGTGTTGCAGGTCCTTGGCTCTCGTTGTGGACAGATGCAGATTAAAGGTGTATTTGACACCAGTCGGAAACGACCCTTTCACTTCAGGTCGGTGGAGCTCTGACTGCTGTCTGTCTTCCATGCAAACTACTCAGTCTTTGTGAGGAGGGAGGAGAGACACCAGAGCCTCTCTTGACAGGCCAGGGGAATGGGGTGGGGGGGTGCCCAGTTTCTGTGCCCCTTGGGTTTTACCTGAAGGGCCCATAAGAGGTGGTCAGGCCTCTGTAATGGACACCCCGAGCAAGAAGGCTCTCACAGTGTCTGCAGCAGTGCGAAGGCCTCCAGCTGTTTCCTCGCTAGCAGCTGAAGGTTTCACAGAAATAAGCAGACACAGGGGAGACCTCTGAACTCTCAGATTAATGGCTATGCACTGCTCGACGTCACTTGTTTTCTAAGAAACGAGTTTTGGATTCTTGGAGCAAGAAGTTTTGGATACAAAGCTGTTACCTCACAGAAAGGTACCTTTCACCTTGCACCTATGTGACACCGGTCCAGACAGGAGTCGGCAATACTCCTTCAAACTTCAGCGGCGAGAGACTCTGTGTGGAGAATGGTTTTGTAGAGCCTGTCGGTATCTACCCTGACTGCGCTGTCCAATTTTCTGTTCTAACTGCAAGGCTTTGGGTTTTTTTATAGTGAAAAAAGATGGCATTAGGTATAGACGCATCCTAATCAAAAGCGTTCGAGTACATAGCCCACGGTCTTGGTGTTGGCTGCAGTGGTCCCCGGCTTGAATCAGAGTTGGACTCCCTGGTGTTTATTGTTTTAAGTCGGTTTGAACTAGGCCTCAGTATGAATCTGTCAGCCTCATTGTCATGGGAAGCATTTCCAGAGTTAAAGCCCAAAATTTCATCTCTCTCGACAGCACCAGTTCCTCAAATGTCTGCTCCTTGGGTTATTATTGCAGTGGTATTGTGTCTACTGGCGCTTTATTTTTGTTGTTGTGTTCCGATAATCAGGTTTTCAGCAGTTATTCACGCCTTCCGGTTGAAATGGTTGCTAAGCGTTCTGGACGGTGTTACACGGTGTCACACGAGAAGGGCCGTTTTACGGTGGCGAAAGCGTTAGTTGAAACCAGCACTGAGAATTTGGGCGGTGTAAGCACCCGCATAGCTGGCCACACATGATGTGAGATCTGGTGCTTCATTCTTGGGGAGAGAAAAGGGAACAGGGTGCAGTCCGGTTCCTGTTGAGTGCCTTTAAAGAGCGCTGGTGTCTGGAGACAGTGGGAATACGTCTGCTTCTTGTCTCTACTTCAGGGGCATTTATTGAATTAAGC